GTGTTTCAGATTACCACTCGCAGCATTACGCTAAGGATGAAGTCATTCCCCTTGATGACGCAACTATACGGAAGGCACCACCTATCGGTTCCGGTAGCACCAAGTTCCCTCGGTCATTTGCAACTAATATGCAAATAAAACCCTTCCTTGAAACGCTTTCCGAGCCGTTACCCCAAGGGAATGGCAGGCAACGAACTATGTCCTGGGCCCAGGATTCGACTTTCACAAATCAAACGCTTCTCGCGCTATCCCCCAAGGGGAAGCAGGCAACAGACTATGTCTCGGGCTGAGGGAACGACTTTCAAAACCAAGACGCTTTCTGTGCCATCCCCCAAGGGGAGGCAGGCAACAGACTGTGTCTCGGACCGAGGAAACGACTCTCAAACCCCTCGGAACCCGGAAGGTTGACACCGAGGTGGGAGCCAACGGTTTATACTGTTGCCTCCCGACAGGCCAAGCCTTACCAAGAAACCAAGTTTCTTGAAGCCTTCCCTTCACTACTCAAAAAATAAATTGGGGTGAAGGGGAGTAGACTCAACGAGTAAAAGTATCACAGTCCACAACGGAACACCCTTCGGTAACAAACCGCAAGGTTTCTCACAAGCAAGGCGGAAGTTCGCCTTTGATTACTGGTCCTTATACCGAAGGCCCCTATGAAACAGGTGTTTCCAGAATTGGCTAAGCCCACATTTTCGAAGCCTTCGACACATCAGCCAACACCGGAGGTTCCCATTCTACAAAGGGGATAATTTGGCTAAGTCCACTCTACTGCAGCCTCCGGCAGGCAACAAATATCATAGCCGTCTACTCCCATACACGGGGCTTAAATATTCTAACGATGTCGAAGGCGTCTACCCTCTCACTATGGGCTTAAATTTTCTAAGTCCACATGCATTTTGGAGGCCAACACCGAAGGTTCCTATTGCACTCAGCATGAACCGAAGGCATCTACCACCAGGTAGTGGGCCGAAATCACCTAAGCCTACATATCGGAATGCAACACCAAAGGTTCCTGTTTTACAGACTGGGAGGTCCTATTCTTATATGTTGGGTTAAAAAATTGGCTAAGTCCACACCTTTATAGCCCCCGGCACTACAATTGGGTCAAAGACGTGCAAACCCCACATTTTTCAGGAGACTGCTGATTTGAAAACCAGATGGAATTTTTTTAAGTCCATGGCATAGAAGGCCCCTGGGAAGACAGGCAATACCGAAGGACATGACAATAAAGATTTTCACGAGGGGTATGTTCTCACACCTTATGAGTCTACATAAGGATTTAACCGCACCAGGAACTCATATTACCTGACGGTCCTACCAAATTTTACTAAGAGGAATTTGTCTGCAACCGACTATGAACCGAGTGCAAGTTCATGACATTGCCCAAAAATGGCCAAGTCCACAGCACCAGGACCCCCCCGGTAGAGGATAAAGGGCTAGTTTTTTCACACAACTAAAGCAATTAACCGGGGCCCGATGGTGAACATTACTTAGAAATTTTTCTAAGTCCTAAACCTTTGGCCCTCAGCCTATCCATGGAGCAAGCATACGTTCACAAAAAATTCAAGAAGGCATAAATGAAGACAGGGGTATCAACAACAAAACCAAACACCTACAAGGAAACAAAGAAAGACGAATGCATCCAATCATACATTCATAAAAGAAATAAAAGGTGTTTGTTGCATACTAGCCTCTAAGAAGTTATTACAAAACATTGTTCAAAATATATCTAAGTACAATCATTAGCAGCTCCCCCTTCGGCAGCTTTGGAGGTGACATCATCATCGGCAACCTCATCTTCGTCACCGTCGCCACATTCCATCATCATTTTTGAATCCTCAATCACTGACCTCTCTTCACCCGGAGGGAGAGGGACTCTCATGTCTGGCTGCTAAGGGGGGAGACCATACGCCTTCAGATCAAATTGCTCCGGGGGGATGTTGAAATGTCGGGCCAACCTCCGGTATATCAAGCGCTTGGTGAAGAACTCACCCCTTGATAATAACAGTCGCCTCTCTCGGCCAACCACATTTTACCAGGGCCCTCAACCCAGGCGTCGACCTTCTTCTCCACAACCGAGGAGACCCAATCATTCTTATACTCGGCCATCCAGCCCTCAGCGATAAATGCCTCAATGGCGGTCCTCTCAGCTTTGGCCACCTCCTCGGCCTTTGCCCTCTCGGCCTCCTCAGCTAGCACCCTTCAAACAACAATGGAGCATGCCCTCGGGTTATCACGTTCAAAGACCCTCCTGCCGCATTTAGCCCTCATCATGGAGCTTGGGATAACCTCTCGGGAGCCCTCAGCCCTCAGTGCATGGGGGCCTTGTGACCCCCCTCGGCAATCACTGCCCTCAGATCATAGACAACCCTCGGGTTTTCGGGGCTACTCTCCACAGATTATGAATGGCCCTCGGCCTTAGCATTATCTTTCATCTCAGACCGAAGGGTTCACCTTTTGACTTCATTTTGGGGGCATCCAATGTACTCTTTTTCCCTCATTAGGATTTTTTCCCACAGGGTTTTTCCTAATGAGGTTTTTAATGAGGCATCTCCCCAAAATGAAGCAAAGGCATCATCCCTCGACCCACTACTGAAGACAGACATTACTCTACTCCTTCTCGCCCCATTACATGTGCCTCAATGAGCGGGGGACTGGAGAACCCCTTCGGGGAATCACAAAAAGTTAAAAAAATTCTCAAAACATCAACAAAAGCCTCCAAAAATGGGGGACTGACAGCTCCCCTCGGCAGCACCAAAATGCAAACAACCAATGGAAGGAAACTCTCGCAACAAAGACGCCTTCGGCAGAACAACCACAATTACACCTTTTCCCTCAAGTACCTTTCGGGAAAAGGAGTGAGGGACTCCTGATGGAGTATATGGCCCGGGGACCCCCGGCCCACAGACTCTTGCTTCTCTTACGCGGGCCCATCAAGCCCGATGAGCGCACAACAACCAAACAAAGCGGCCTAAGCATGAAGAAGCCCACATTGTACATTAGGAAAATGGAAACTAATAATCCAACCTTTTAGCGGTCTTCTTACAATAGTCTCACCTTTTGATTATTCATGAATAATCCAACCTTTGCACCTCATCTTCATTCACTGGTCCCTGGCCGATTTATGACCTGTTATTCCAAGTTATTTTCTTATCTTTGTAAAACATTATACCATAATTCCCACCTTATGATCACATAAAGGTGGGACTATTGTAAGAAGACCGCTTAAAGGTTGGATTATTAGTTTCTATTTTCCCTTGTACATTTGAATGTCTTCAGCTTTATGGCCGAAGGCTCCAAATTCTAGGAGGCAACTTGATATGGACCTGCTAAGCTTCTGGGAATTTCTGGGCAAAATGACTAGCCTTCAGCTACTCCACGCCCTCGGCTGTATATAGCCTTTGGCCGTACCTAGGCCTTCGGCATACAGCAGACTCGATGAAGATTCCTCTTAGAGACAGACAACCACCGCATTTAATGTGGCGTCACGTCCGACCACCGCATTTAATGCGGTGCGCATGCAAATGCCGGTGCCACCCCAATTGAGGTGACCCTCGGCCGTCAAATGTTTGACACGTGTCCTTGTCTAGCATTTATGTCTACTATAAATTGCAACCCCTTTTTATTGTAATCGACACAATATTCATACTCGAATACATACTCTCTCTCTTACTTGTTGCTCTAGCTTCTCTCTAGGTTATTCCCCGAATAACCCCTCGGATAAGCTACCCCCGGGCACACTATCTGTCATCCTTGTTCCATTTTTTGAACAAATATATTCCTAAAGTTTATGTGGAAGTGCATATATACTCCTGAAATTTTTAAAAGGTGCAAAAATATCAATCATGTTCCTATAAAAGAAACAAATTTACCTTTACTGACCTTAAATAAGTAAAACTAAATTTTAATAAATACAAAAATAAATTATAAATTTGAAATTGAAAAAAAATTAAAGAGTTAAAAAAAATATTCATTTTATCTATTTAAAATCAATAATGGTGTATTTGCTCTTTTATAGAAACATGAGGGGTATTTTTACATTTTTTTAAATTTAGAGATATGTTTATTTCTAAAAAAATAGAGCAAAAATATATTTTTTCACACATCTATATTACTTGAATATATTTGTACTTTTTCTCTAATAATAATGGAATATGTTATAACTACTTCTGCGGATTCCTTCCCCTTTGTGAGAGGACCACTTTCATCGTTCTTACTTTTCTAGGGTTGCCGCTAGGCAACGCTTAGCTTGGATTGTCCGGTGGTGATCGATCTGATCACGGCACCGGTTTGCTGCGCTTGTTCTTTCTGTTGTATCCTTGCACGAAAGAAGCAGATTTTGAGGTTCGGTCTAGACCTAGCCGCTGCGCTGCTTAGGCGGATGATTGTCGAAGGATGCTCACTGGTCTTGCTCGTTTTCTTCCCTTCGTCCGACTTCATAATTAAGGAACACAGTGAGCAATAGTGAAAGGATGCATCATCGAGTGAAGGTCAGTGGATGGAGCTTGGGGTTAAAAGCGGGAACAAATCTGGATTCAAGGTCATCTGTGATTGATGGAGAAAGTGAAGGCTTGACAGAGATGGATGAGGAGTGGGCGCGTCCCCCTCCGGAGCCACCCCCATGAAGTGCAAACGAGTCTAGGATTTGGAAGAGGATGAATGAACTCTATTTTAATTCCGTTTTTTCTGTTTGTGTTTTTCTTTTGGAATTGAATGTTGTTTTGGACGTGTTCTTATTTCTTAGCAGAGATATTCTAGATTTTAAAACAAGTGATGAGAAGTCTGGTTTGCCTGTCATTGATTCAGTTAAGTTCATTACAGGATCATCGAATGTTATTGCTACAGAGATGATGAATTCTAAGTCTGGTTCAAAGGCGGACAACATACATAAACTTTTTATGGTTTTCTTTCCTGCTTTTTCTTAATTGTATTATCACTTTTTGTTGAGTTAATATATTTATTGGAGTTGATGAAAAAAAATGGAATATGTTATTAAAAAAGGTCAACGGGGTCTGGCCTGCGGCTCACCCAAAAACAATAGAAGAACGAATAGTCAGAGTAGTCCACTCGTATCTGTTGTCATAGTCAGGACGCACCCCCACCAAAATTCCCAAACCCTTCTTCCGCTCAACGATTCTTGTTTTTCTGGGTAATCTTTTTAGTCATCGCAATTTCTCTTATTTACTCCTTCCTTCATTGTAAGTTTTGGCATCTAGCTTTTTCCCACTTTCTATGATTTTCCGTTTGATTGCGTTTTCAATCCATCTTAGTAGTTAAGTAGCGACTTTTATGCGGTTAGGGCGCTGATCCTCATAATCGACTGATTGTGACTTTGAACAAGTAATCTGATTTGTTGTTAGGATGTATTTTCAATAACTGATTATTTGTTCAGGTGAAGACTTGACGGTTTTTGTTCAGACTGGGAAAAAAAGATGAGCGACAATTTGATGGAGAAAGTCAACTCTTTGGGGGAGCGGTTGAAGATCGGAGGGTCAGAGGTGAGCCAAAAAATCACTGCTGGAGTGACGTCAATGAGCTACAAGATGAAGGAGTTCTTCCAGGTCCCAAACCAGGCGGATAAGCTAGTGGAGGAAGCAACTGCCGAGACTCTGGATGAGCCCAGTTGGGCAACCAATCTTGAACTGTGTGACATGATAAATCATGATAAGGTCAATAGTATTGAACTCATAAGGGGAATAAAGAAGAGGATCTTGTTGAAAAGCCCGAGGGTTCAATTCTTAGCCTTGGTTTTGCTTGAAACCATAGCCAAAAACTGCGAGAAGGCTTTCTCTGAGATTGCAGCCGAAAGGGTGCTTGATGAGATGGTGAAGTTGATCGATGATCCCCAAACTGTAGTGAACAATCGGAACAGGGCTCTCACAATGATTGAAGCTTGGGGCGAATCATCTAGTGAGCTTCGGTATCTTCCTGTTTATGAAGAAACTTATAAGGTACATTATTTTGTTGGTAGTTTTCTTCGGATCATACTGGAATAATCAAATAATGTAAAGGGTTTGTACTGTTTTTGTGTTTGCCACTAGCTCTGTTTGATATGATTACATGAAAGGCTTATGCTACCTTCTCCTAAAGAGCTTGGTTTGTCTGATCACTTAGTGCCCTCTAGGTATAGGCTGTAAGTGATTTCTTTAGATTTGGTCTAAGTCATGTAAGTGCTATGTATACAGTACAATACATGTTTGGCTAACATATTCAACTATTCTCTATGCTGGATGAATAAGATCGTGTTATTAAAAATGTGGTCTTAACTAAGTTTTTAGCCTCTATTACGAAGTATCACCTCTTGGTCAAGACATCTTTATCTTGTAAGATTCAGTTTGTTTTTACTTAATATAACTTGCTGTGGAAAATTGAAATGTTTTCCAAAGAAAATGTTTTTCCTTCGAAGGCTCTGAGTTTTTTTCCCTGAAAACGAGTTTTCAGAAAACAAACTGTTGATTTAAATTATCATAAAATGATAAAAAGGAGATGCATAATATAATATTTGATGCAAAACAATAGAAAACGTAGAAACCATTTTCTCAATCACTTGAAATGACTTCCCATTTTCCGGTGCCAAACACGATAATCTTAACTGGAAAGCCAGGGAAGTAGTTTTTATGTGCCAAACTTAAGTAAATTGGAAAACATTTTTCAGACAAATATTTTCTATTAAATATATAAACCCTTATATCAATACAAGTAATTGCTTGATGCTGATCTAGAACTTTTTCTTTTAAATAAAGAAGAATTAAATGCATAGCTCATACTGATTGCCCTTCTAAGTTCTGATATATGTTTCTTCATTGTGATATTGTGTTTTGTGTATTCTTCTCATGTTATCATTTTAGAGCTTGAAATCAAGAGGCATACGCTTCCCTGGTCGTGATAATGAGAGCCTGGCTCCTATATTCACCCCGGCAAGATCTGTAACCACTTCAGAAACAAATGCCACTCTTGCACAACAATTGTATCATGATATTCCACCTCCAGTGACCTTGTCAGCTGAACAAACCAAGGAAGCATTTGACGTGGCAAGAAATAGTATAGAGCTTCTTACCACTGTTTTATCCTCTTCACCTCAACAAGATGCTTTAGAGGTACATATGCTGTCTTTCTCAACTCAATGTGATTATTCAGTTCTAATAATTATGAAGATAGTGGATTTCTTAACATAAAATTAGAATAATATACTTGACTTTGAAATATGGATGTTGTTTGTCCACACCCATTAGGAGCTTGGGGTGAGAGTGCTTGGCCCCCCTTGAGCTGAAAAAATATTACCACTACAAACATAAAAATTATGCCTGCTAAAAATCTAAAATATTTTGATTTAATTTTATACGAGCAGTCGAGCAAGATCCCCCTTTTTGAAAATGTTGCTATGTATTTTAAGTTATGTTTGTTTCTATGTTATAGATGTATATTTTTAAATTATTTATAGATATTGAAGTGTATGTCGCTCCCTTGACAAAATCCCCAATATGCCACCGTGCAGCTAGATTATAAGGGGGGGCATTGGCATTTTATTGGTCTTACTAAAACTGAAGTCACATGTCAACAAAGATTGAATATGTCTTCAAATAAAAAGTACTAAAGTACACTATATTACTACTTAAATGCATGGCTTCATTAAGTGAATCAGGACTTGTACTAGTAATGATTGCTGGGCTGCTGGCTGTTGCACGATTTCTCAATCCATTAAAAATCAATTTAAAATATAATAGTATGGTCCATTAAACAAAGTATAACCTATAAACAATTTATTTCATTGATGATGTCCAATCCCCCCGTTTTCTTGCTCTATTGCTTTAATGTGTAGAGAATATAGGTGGTTGATTGATGCATGGAAAAATACTTTACCGCACACACAGAATATGTGTGTGTGCGCGCAGATATTACCATATCCACCGCCTCCCTCAAGGATATTTTTGCAATTTTACTGGGGTGTTGCCGCATTGTACATGTATGTGCAGACACACCTATACATGCATGTGCATTTAAATATATATATATATATATATATATACACACACACACACACACACACATAGTGACCAAACGATATCTAAACCATTACTTGATGTATAAAATTTTATGGTTCTGATGGACGTGGATGATTTTTAAAATGCTTCCCAAATGATAAAAAGGTAATGGGTGGATAACAACGATCAATATAATACTCCGTAGTAGCAAGTGGATGGATTGGATCCAATCATGGTTAATTATACAATGGATGGATTTGATAGATTTAAGTACATTTGGATTAATTGGATGGGCGATAGACAAATAGGGTCGTTGCCATCCCCATTCGTAGCTGAGTTGTGAAGTATATACTGCTGGAGGTGGACTTTAGATTTTATTTTATTTTTAATTTTGTGATCTCCAAATTACTACTGAGACCTCCTCCTTTTGCTTTTTTGGAAAAATTAAGGATGAGTTGACAACCACACTGGTACAACAATGCCTCCAGTCCCAAAACACGGTTCAGAGAATCATTGAGACCGCTGGAGATAATGAGGCTCTCCTTTTTGAAGCTTTGAATGTGAATGATGAGATCGTGAGAGCCATTTCAAAGTATGAAGACATGAAAAAACCTGCGGTCGTCCCATCAGCACCTGAGCCTGCTATGATACCAGCTGCACCCGTTGAGCCCGACGATTCCTCCCCCTATGCCGTAAAGGAAGACGGTCTGATCCGGAAGCCTTCGGGCCTACGACCCGGAGTTAATCATGGTGGAAACAATGACGAAATGATGAATGACCTTGATGAGATGATCTTTGGTAAAAAAGCAGGCACCGGTGATTCGTCTGGATCCACCGTGCATCAAGACAAGAAGCAGCAATCACCCAATGATTTCATTTCCTTTTGAGATTAACCGTGGCACTGGATTATTATATTTGAAAACCAGTCCTTGGTGGTGTTAATATGATTAGATATTCACTGTGTTTTCAATTATTTTCTCCAAAGGAATATGAAAACTTTCTCTCTTTGAGGGAGTATTTGAAGTACTATTATTTCAACTTACGTACCTGATTTGAAATTTGAATTGTTCGAATGATACATGTGAATATGTGATGATGCATTTGGCATGTACAAATTGGACATGTCTAATAATATTTGATGTGATTCCTACAATCCTACATCGTTACATTAAATCCTAAATGAGCTATTACTTGCCACATGAGCACTCATACCTAAACTATTTTGAACCTAAAAATACTTCAATAGTAAGTTACAGTTTCTTCATTTTAATTTATTATTATATTGATTATTATTATATTGATTATTATTATATTTAGCTACTCTTTTCTCCAAAGTCAATATCACAACTCTTATTTAATAAAACTCCAGCGTTTTCGCTGGTAAAAAAGCTGTAAACTATTTGATATGGCTATGTGTTTTTATGGTCAATCATATTACAGTATTACTTGATTGAGAAAAAATAGTCAAGTCATATTTTAAGGCAACTTTATAATTATGGAAGATAATATATCTTAAATCATTCAATTTTATAAGTTGTGGAGAAGTATAGACACTAAAAAGGATCTGCATTTGGTGTTCATTGACTTAGAAAATGTATATGATAGGGTACCTCGAGAAGTTCTTTGGTGAGCCTTAACTAGAAAAGACATATCACGTAAGTATATTAGTATCATCATTGATATGTATGATGCTTGTACTACAAGTGTCCGCACTAGTGTAGGGAGGACCGCATAATTCCCTATTACTATCGGAGTGCACCAAAGATTTTCTCTGAGTCCTTTCTTATTTGCTATAGTAATGGATGAACTTACGAAGTCAATTCAAGAACATATACCGTGGTGCATGATGTTTGCCGACGATATTGTATTGATTGATGAGACACAATCCGGTGTTAAAGCAAAGTTGGAAGTATGGCGACAAACATTGGAGAGCAAGGGTTTCAGACTGAGCCGAAGCAAGACTGAGTATATGGAGTGCAAGTTCGGTGGAGGTAGAAGTAGTAACAACAGTGAGATTACTCTTGATGATAAGGAGATACCGATGTGTGATATGTTCCGTTACTTGGGTTCCATTTTTTTGGAGGGGGAAATGTTAATATATATAGATAGTAGCCAATGTTTATGTACATCATGTGAGCAAAATTTGAGGCATATCCAAGTATGAATATCCTATAACATCATAAGCTGTCTAAGCTCAAAATCTAACATCTATCATCTAGCAAAAATAGCCATCAATCTCATGACAAAAAAGGCTAGTGTTTAGTTCAAAATGGGATCATATGATACAGATATATAAAGTAGAGCACTTTATACACCATGTACTTGATATGTGGGAGCATGTCTTCCATCTTAAGTGTGGCTCCATCAAAACGAATTGCATTCCTGGTTCTCCATATCCAATAGATTGTGTAGCTAAAAGCTATCCTCGTAGCCTTTGCCCTAATGTTTGCTCCATTGCATTCTCTTTGGATCCATTTCACCGCACTCCTTAGTGTTGACATTTGCCTCGAGATGCCAAGCCACTCCTTCACACTTTTCCAAACCTGACCTGTGCAAACACATTCAAAAAATAGGTGTGGTACCGTCTCCGGACCACCCTTACAAAAGGGACAAATATTAACAATATCAAGGTAAACCATGTTGTCATAAGTAGGTAGTCTATTCCGGTAGGCTAACCACATTATGAACGAAAATTTGAGAGGTATATAGGCCCTCCAAATGAAGGATATCCACGCATGAGCATTCCCTTTAATCCTAAGGAGGTCATAAATCTTGGAAGAAGAGAGTTTGCCATTGTAAACCATCTTTCCAAGCTGGGTTATGGTCTCAGTTACAGAATGGTATTTTGAAACAATAGAGTCTCGGATCAGTGCAATTATTTTCATCAGTTGTGAGTCTCTATTGCGTGGAACAAACGTCCACACATCTCTCCCATAGAGATAGACTCCATTCACCCATCTCACCCAAAGAGTGTCCTTTTTAGCATGAATATTCCATAATGTGCGAGCTAATAATGTATTATTCCAAACCTTTGTATCCCTAATCCCTAGCCCCCCTTCTTCTTTTGGTAAGCAAACATCCTCCCAAGCTACCTTAGCATGTTCCCCCCCCCCCCCTCCAAAGGAAGATTCTACAGAGACTAACAATTCTATCCAAAATTGTTTTGGGCACTGGAAAAATACCCAACCAAAAGGACTGCACACCTTGAATAACCGACTTAATCAACTCAACTTTCCCCGCGTAAGACAAAGACTTAGTATTCCATGCTTTAAAATAGTCTGTCACCGTGTCAATCAACGGCGAGAATTGGGCAACCGAGATCTTTAAAGGAGCCAATGGAATACCAAGATATCTTACCGGAAAGGATCCTTGTTGAAAGTCAACCATTTGTAGAATGAAAGGTAGTTTTTGTCCAATGTTTCCCCCCACAAAAATGTTAGATTTATCTTGATTAACCAATAGACCCGAAACCTTCCCAAAATCATTTAATGCATCAACCAAAATTTTAATGGATTTGGGTTCCCCCTTAGAAAAGAGCATCAAATCATCGGCATAGGCCAAATGTGATATCTTAAGCTTGGAACATAACGGATGGTGGTTAAAGTTTGGATTTGAAGTCCTAATAGCTAACATCCGAGACATGTATTCCAAACACAAAACAAACAACGTAGGGGACATGGGGTCACCTTGTCTCAAACCTCTCTTTCCTTCAAACCAGCCATGTAGGTTGCCATTAATAGATATTGAAAAGGAAGAGGTAGAGACACATTCCATAATCCAATTTACAAAGATGTTTGGCATTCCAATTCCCCTTAGAGTTTTTTCAAAGAAATCCCAAGAGATGGTATCATATGCTTTCCTAATATCAACCTTGATCATACATCTAGGAGAGACCCTCTTTCTAGCATATCCCCTCACCAATTCTTGTGCAAGAAAGATATTATCTGTCATTAGTCTACCATCAACAAACGCCCCTTGTGATGGATCAACTACGCTAGAAAGACATGGTCCCATTCTAGATGCTAAAATCTTAGTAATGATCTTGTAAGTCACATTTGTACAAGAAATGGGCCTAAAGTCAGAGACCGTAGGAGAATGATTAGTCTTAGGAATGAGTGCTACAATGGTATGTGATGGAGTATATGGCCCAGGGACCCCCGGCCCACATACTTTCTCTACTACAATCAGGCCCAACAGGCCCAAATGGGCCAAGCCCAGAAAAATGGAGCTCTAAGCAGCCCACAATACACAAAGGGGTGCCTTCGGCCCCATGGCCGAAGGCTACCAGTGACGGAATCGAGCTCAGAAACATCACAGGAGAACAAGGCTTGAAAACCAAGCCTTCGGCAACTGCAGCCCTCGGCAGGTAGGAGCCCTCGGTTAGAAGATGCATCACACGAGAACAAGGCTTGAAAACCAAGCCTTCGGCAACTGCAGCCCTCGGCAGGTAGGAGCCCTCGGTTAGAAGAGGCATCACAAGAGAACAAGGCTTGAAAACCAAGCCTTCGGCACCTGCAGCCCTCGGCAGGTAGGAGCCCTCGGTTAGAAGAGGCATCACAGGAGAACAAGGCTTGAAAACCAAGCCTTCGGCACCTGCAGCCCTCGGCAGGTAGGAGCCCTCGGTTAGAAGAGCCTTCGGCCCAGCACCCTTCAGCCGAAGGCATCCACCTCGACAGAATATCCTCTTCACATGCGCCTGGATCACCGTACCAAGTACAAACGTCACATCCAACCACCACATTTAATGCGGCCACATGTGAGTGTCAGTGCCACCCCGGTCGAGGTGACCCCTCGACCACCAGAAAACTGACACGTGTCCTTATCTAGCATTTATTACTAACAGACGAACCCCCGGACGGATCACTTGGACCCCCTTCCGGCCGAGGCGGGGAAGCAACCCCCTCGGCCGAAGCCTAGAAGAAGGAACACACATCAGGAGGACTAACATACGACCTCCTGGCACAATCAAGGGACGGCCCAGCGTCGGGGGACTAACAGACGAACCCCCGGACGGATCACTTGGACCTCCTTTCGGCCGAGGCGGGGTATCAACCCCTCGGCCGAAGTCTAGAAGAAGGAACACACATCAGGAGGACTAACATACGACTTCCTGGCACAATCAAGGGACGGCCCAGCGCCGGGGGACTAACAGACGAACCCCCGGACGGATCACTTGGACCTCCTTTCGGCCGAGGCGGGGAATCAACCCCTCGGTCGATGCCTGAAAGAAGGAACATACACCCAGAGGACTCCTGGAACTATCAAGGAAAGGCCCTCGGCCTTGGCATGATTCCACGTCACCAACGGCCCTCGGCCTCAGCGTGATCCCACATCACAACGGCCCTCAGCCTCAACATCAGACGGCCCTCGGCCTCAACATCAACAACGTCCCTCGACCTCAGCATCAGAACGGCCCTCGGCCTCAACATCAACAACGGCCCTCGGCCTCAGCGTGAGGACATCACAATGGCCCTCGGCCTCAACATCAGACGGCCCTCGGCCTCAACATCAACAACGGCCCTCGACTTCAGCGTGATTCCACATCACAACGGCCCTCAGCCTCAACATCACAATGGCCCTCGGCCTCAACATCAGACAACCCTCGGCCTCAACGTGACTCTATGTCATAACGGTTTTGGCCTTAACGCGATCTCACCTCACCAACGGCCCTCGGCCTCAGCGTGATTCCACATCACAACGGCCCTCGGCCTCAACATCCGAACGGCCCTCGGCCTCAACATCACCAACGGCCCTCGGCCTCAGCGTGATTTCACATCACAATGGCCCTCAGCCTCAACATCAGACGGCCCTCGGCCTCAACATCAACAACGGCCCTCGGCCTCAGCGTGAGGACATCACAATGGCCCTCAGCCTCAACATCAGACGGCCCTTGGCCTCAACATGACCCTATGTCATAATGGTTTTGGCCTTAGCGTGATCTCACATCACCAACGGCCCTTGGCCTCAGCATGATTCCACATCACAACGGCCCTCGGCCTTCATCCCTCCGACATCTTTATTTGATGCCGGGGGCTATCATACAGGCCCATCGGCCTTCATCCCTCCGGCATCTTTATTTGATGTCGGGGGCAATCACACAGGTACCTCGGCCTTCATCCCTCCGGCATCTTTATTTGATGCCAGAGGCTATCATACAGGCCCATCGGCCTTCATCCCTCCGACAT